TGTTAATACTTTGAATACCACCATTTGAATTCTATTATATTTTTATAATGAATTTTTAAACATACATTTTACATAAATCAGATAGTTTATAAATTTACCTGTATAAGCCAATATACTTTAGGTTTGGGCCATCCAGTAGGAGGATGGCAAGCAAGTTTAAATGGCTCACCTTCTTGAGCTTCAATACATAATATAGATTGATTTTTAAATTCATTCAATTCAGCTTTCAAAACTCTCACAGATTTAGAAGTAGCTATACCCCATAAATTTTCAGCAAAACACTGATACTGACCTATGTTCAATAATTATTTAATTTATTTTAAATCATAATTCTAAACAAAAACACAATAGGTAATATAATTATTTTATAATTAGAAATATTAATTATTATTAATCAATATTACCGAGATCTTCATCACTAGGTTTAGTAATTATAAGTGAACCTTGTCCTGGTTGTAAGATTATTCTCTTATTATAGTCTTGCCAATCAATTTTTTTACCATTTTTTATCCATGTATACCTATCATAAATAATGAACTTATTTTAAAAGTAACCTTACATTTTTATTTATTTTAATCTTATTATTTTTATAACTAAAGCTCGGATGTTAATAACCAAAATGTTATAGAAATATGCATTTTAAAACCTAAATAATACCTAATTAAATACCTATTTTTTCAACAAATAAATGCAAAAAAAATTGTTAATATTAATTCAAAAAATATATATACTCTTTCGAATGTATATCTAAAATTACTTAATTACAAAAAAATACAGCTAATAAATATGAAAAAAAAAATTAATTAGTTTTCGATCCATCAAAATTAAATTTTACATAGGTTAGCATTTTAAGTATCAAGATTATACTGCACAACAATAATATTGCTGATATTGCGAAAATGACACAATTAATAGTAATGATAATTAACAATATAGACAATTTTAAAACATATAATTCATAAAATATATGCCATTTAATCTAGAAACAATCAATATATGCATTTATATGCTCAAAAATGTCAAATATGCGAAAATATGCAAAATAAATTTGCATATTTGCAATTAAGATTTCATAAATGGAATTTTTATCATATTAGGGTATAATTCTGGTTATACAAAAAAAAATATGCCAAGTCATAAACATCTGAGCTCTAATGATAACAATATTTTTTTTACTTAGGAGCTGGTTCTGCTTCTGCTTCACAGTCAATTATAAAAGGATAGTCTTTTTCATTTTGATTATTAATTGAAGCTACTTGAAACACTAATTCATCAACAGACTCTTTAACAAATTTTGGAGGTGATGGAGCTAGAATGATTTTTTTAAATATTAAAAGTACAAATGTATAACTTATGAATAAACTTGATTTGCATAATAATTTACAGCAGATAAATTATAATACACATTTGTTGAATATTTTCAACATTTTTCAAATTGTTTTTATCAAAATAGAAATAAATGTGTCAGAAAATAACATTTAATATAGTAATAAAGAGTATTAAGATAAAATAAGTAATGGCTTTTTTATGGTATTTATAATATAAATACTTCAGTCAGAAGTTTTGAAAAAAAATATGTATAAGATGAAATAACTGCTGGATTTTAAAAAAATTAATAAAGTATATGGAACTAATTATTATTGAACCTTTGACATATTTATATAATTTAAGCATTAAAAAATATACTTTTGCTGATTAAAATTGTAGTAGTAATTTTGTTGTACAAATATGGTAATAATTTATCTGTAAGTAACGGTTGACCAATATTAATATTAAGTAATTTTATTAAATTTTTAAAAATCGCTAAAAACAAACTAATATAATATTTAGAAGGCAATAAACTTGTCAAAAAATCTATTTTTTTTTTTTTTTGACCTAGTAAACCTAGAATTAATCCAGAAAAGAAAGTGCACTTTATAGTAGTATTAAGTATATATATAATTCCCTTGATAATAATAGAAAAAATCTCAGCAATTATCTTAGACCTAGCAAAAGCTTTTGACATGATTATCCACGATAAGCTAATTATGCCTCCTAATTAAGTAATCTAAGTAATTAGTTTGAAGAGGCTTAGTAGTTATTTAACAGATAGGCATCAAATAGTTAAAATAAATTAAGTAAAGGTCAAAAATGGATAATTATAAGTGGAGTCTCACATGGTAATAGGGTTGAAATATTTTTTATTATTATGATAAGTAAAAAGTATATGCAACTTTAATATAGATGGTCAAGTCATAACATATGTAGATAATACTTGCATATTTTCTTTCAGATAATTTGAGGATCTTAGACTAAAAAAATAACAATACACAAACTTAAAAGAAGTAGATCACTTCTTTAACCCAAGGAAATTATTTTTAAGTATAAAAAACTTTTTATGACCTTTATTTTCTATAATTCAATTATTCCTTTTAATGAACTAGTTATAAATATTTATAAAAATTAAATTTTTATAAATCTATAATTGTTTATCTCCATTACAAGCTTAGCTTTAAGGAGATAAATGACCAAACATTTTCTGGTTGTGAATTAATTATGTAGATACAAAATATTATTTTATAAATGATATTCATAAACAAATTATTGTAAATGATGCATGTAAAGTCTTTAAATTATTCATATATTTACTTTAGTTATACTTCTTATTAATTATAACTTTTATAAGAAAAAAAGTTAACAATTTTAAATCTCATTTAAGTAGGTGCCTACCCATAATTTGCAAATTATTTTTTATGGGCCTTTTTAATTATAAGTTAAAATGCATAATTAAACAATGATATAATGAAAATACTTATTGTGCATAAGTGTCATGACTAAGAAGTACATTACCAACAGACTGGCCAGAGGGACAAATGGACAATCGCCTCCCAGACCCTCAATAGTGTCATATTAATAAAAATTATATATATATACATATATATATATATATATGTGTAACAATTATACAAAAAATACAAAAATATGAATTGACCATAATTAACTAAAAATGTTTATTAGTTTAAATGTGATAATAATATAGGCCTAGTTGATTAACTCCCTAAACAACTTGTGATCCAATCCACCCCCGTACTTCACAGCACATGAAAACACTTGATTTTATAATGTATTTAAATTTTCAAACTCATATATTAATGGCTGAGTAATGAATAATAAAAATGATGTTAAAATGTAGTTATGATTTAGGTATAATAGGGATGGGCATGAAATCCGAATATCTGAATTATCCGGCTTTATGGATTTGCTTTTTATGAGACTTCAGACTTACAAATATTTTTAATGTATGGTAAAATAAATTATTTTATTATAATGAAAATTATATTATAGAATTAAAATGTAAGTATATAAAAATGAGTCATTGAACAGCAAAATCGAGTTGAATAATGCGGATACTCCGGATAATCCGTGAAATCCGGATTTGACAAATCCGAATAATTCGGATTTTTGAAATCCGGATATGCCCACCACTAAGGTATAATAAATAATAATATGAAGTTTTTTGTTTTTGATAACTAGATAATAATAATAAAAGCTGATTTATTTTAAATTAAGACAAAAACAATGAGATTTTGTAAAAAAAATCATAAAATTGTAAATATGCATGTACTTACTAAGAGATATAGTAGTTTTAAAGAAATATAATAATAATATTAATGAGAACAGCATATGCTGAAAAGTTGTACACATTATGATGAGTTTTTATTTCGAGTTACTGACTATGAGCTGTAACAGATGGATATTTAATATTAAATATATAAAAAAAAGTAAAAACACATAGCAATTTAACCGCAGAATAAATGTATTCTGCAATTAAATCGTGTTTTGAACATTAATTAAATGTTTAAATATAACGATATCAATTACCAATCTATAGATGAACTGTTCTTGGAGCTTCAGCCGTAAGATTTAAACTATTATATACCAGACGTGCCAAGTAGATAAAATATGTATTTATAATATCCAATGCAGTCATACAAGCAACATGGACATTACGTGATTCGCGTAGTTGTTATGTTAGAATTAGAATATAATTCAAATAGGCATGGTTAGAGCACGATATCTTTAACCGTTGATTTGAGTATATAATAATATACCTATTGATGTTAGCCATTTGGTAATTCCGTAAGCACTACAATTTAAGATATACTAAATTATCTTTATTCGAAGTGATTACTAACGACTGTTGAAGATACGATTGATAAAATCAATTTAATCGGTTAAAATAGAGTAAGAATATAATAAAATGTAATAAAATGTTAAAATGTAAACAAGGTATAAGACACGTGCACCTTATAGATAACCGACATTTGTTAAAAGCATGAGCGAATTTATGATGGGTGGTAGTGGAGAGTGACGTAGCGATCATGTCCCCCATTCTTGGACTTTTTTATCGCAGATTTATTTAATATTTTTGATATAGTCATACACATTAGTGTAGTCATCATAGGCGCACATTGTGTGTGAATTCAGGGGGTGCTGGAATAATTTATAGTACACAGGTCCGTGGGGGGCTTTGCCCCCCACACTCCCCCTAATGCCATAATCAACATCGTTACCATAGTTTTTAATTTTTATGAATGAATATTTAAAAGTAATTATATTATAAGTTATAATAATATTTAATTATTTATAATATATTAAACAAGATTTAATTTCCTGTTGGATGATGCAAATTTACACATCATACACATTTCTTCTTAAGGTCCCCACACACTGCCGCGGTAGCGGTGGCGATATTAAAATCGCAGACCTGAACACATTGCGGCGGTGGCGGTGGCGATTTTTATCCAGTATAAACATAATATATTTACATATTACATTTCAGTGTTCAGTCACTTGCTCTACTCTGACAGCTACAACTTCTTAGGCGAATTTCTGACAAATTCAGTTATTATTTCACTTTCATCGAATTGCTCTTTTTTATTTATATTAGCCATAGCTAACCCATTCAGACTGTTTTCCGACATTGTGCTTCTTAAATAACTTTTTAAGCGATTAAGTGCAGAAAACGTTCTTTCCGGAGTGGAAGAGGTAACTGGTAACGTGGCGAATAATTGTAAAAGTATTTTAATGTTAAGTTGAAGATTGGTACAATGAGAGAGTGAATTAACAGCAGAATTCGGTTTTGGAATAATATTTTGACTCCATTGTTGCCTCCATATGAACAGCTAAGCTCTGATTGTAGATGAGGTATCATCTTGGAGATCTTGGGCATATATTTTAGCAGCTTTTATAATATTTTCATCGATTATAAATTGATAGTGACTCAACACAACCTTGTATGATAAACATCAAAAAGATAGTGATAATCATGGTAGAAACTAGAAGTATTAGTAATCTGTAATATCTACGCCAAAGACAAACACCTGTTATTCGTTAATCGTCCAAATTTAGTTAATACCATTGATTGTAGAATATATTATATTCTATAATCAATGGTTAATACCAAAGGTTTAAAATATTTAAATAAAAATAATAGTATACTAGTTTAGTACATAGATACACTATACATATAAACACGGCCCATGGGAGGGGTTATAGCCACCTTAGCTTCCCCCCTTAGCTGCGCCACCGCTAGTGTGTGTAATTACCCCGCTCTATACCCTCTTCCAATATGCCATGCCGGGCCATATTATTAATCTCGTGTTGCTAGGCTTAGAGACTTCTAGCATTTGCATACTTTTTTTAATTATTGTTAAATAAAATAGAGTGCGAAAAAAATTCGTTTCTCGGTGCCATATCAGATCTTAAATTTGAATGTGCATATTTTCGCATATTTGATAGATTTTGCAAGAGAGTGCATATTTCAAAATTGTTATGCTTATTTTGCATATTTTGACAAATTTTTCAAATTTAAAATTAAAAACAATAGATACATATTTTAACCGGACGAAAAAAAATGTACTAAAAGGACTAAGTATAGAATAGTATCCTAGTTACTATCTGCAAACTATCTCTCATATCTCGTTATAATTTTTGTGTAATTATAAATAATACTATAAAGCTGCATCGACCGTATAACCTGCTGGATATCGACCGGATGTCGATAAAAATAATGGTTGATATAGAATAATAGATTATCTGTTTAGTGTTTAGTTCAGTCAATTATTATCTATCATTGTTTTTGCGTCTTGCAACCAAACAACGTCGAATTATACTTCAAACGTCGTACGCGAATATTTTGTGACATTGTGTAATGCCGAAAGTACAACAGTCTACGAGTAGCCGACTAAAAAGTTTTGTTTCGGTGTTTAAAGATACATTTACATTCGATGGACACATTTTATTTTGTGTACTATGTGATAATATTTTTTTAATTTTTTTTTTAATGCATATTATAATGATTTTAGAATCATATTTGCATGCATATTTATGTATTTTTTACAGCTATAAGTCCCTAAGCCTACTAATCATCAATGCATCGGCGCGAAGGGAGAACCAGTTTTCCAATAATAGCCCGTATTTTATTACTAATACTATTGCCGACGTAATCGACATTTTATCATAAATAAAGTCATCAATAATAAATTTAAAAATTAGATTGTCATTTACATTTTAAAATTTAATTAAATGTTTATAAGATTATAATTATAACTTATAAGCCTATTCTGAGTGGAAGTCCTTCGATTAAGCCGCGAATCAATCAGTTGTAGTAACAAATTTTCCACGTAAAATGTTATTAATTTTGGTACTATATTAGTCCAGAACTCCTCATTCCTCTCAATTTTATCTACTAAAAATTAAAAACAGCTATCACATACATTCTGATTCGATTAATTTGGTAATCATTTGTCGCAAAATGGCGGACGATTATACCTGCTTCTATAGTACCCTATATTTCAGTGGCGTAATTTGGAATTGGTTTTGGGGTGGGATTGGGATATAAATTAAAACTATCATTCTAGTAGGGCTATGCCCCCCACACCCCCTTTAACCATTAAATCTCATATAATTCAATATTATATTAATTTATTATTATAAATTAAATGATATTATGATTGAAAAAAATGTTAATTATTAATTATTAACTTTTTCTAACTTTGTACTTACAGGTTGTTCTACAGAAATCATTGATCTAATTCTTTGTTTTTCCTAAGAAAATATTCTTGTGTTATTGATTTTTAAATTTATAGATATGGATATGCCATAATAATTACATAGAAATAAGAAATATATAAATGTATGAAGATTTAGATTATTTCAAAAAATAGTTCAACTTTATTACAAGTTTTTTGCTAGGTTGGTCTTAATCTGAATTACATTTTAACAAGCTGTTTTCTTGATCAGTTTCTTTAAATTTTTTTGAAAAAAAGGAATAAAAGCATTTGACTGCCTTTTCATTTTTAATTTAATTGAATATGTAATTTAGTAATATATTAAATTTACATTATCGCACAATAGACACACATCCACAGTTAAAGAAAAAATAATATTATTTTATTACTCGTTTTATTATATATAATATAAATAATAATAGACATTGGTGTTGTACTATTGCTGATCATTTACAATTTTATAATATTTCAAAATAGTTAATACCAGTGTTGCCAGTTATAATTTTTTTAAAAACCTATGAGTACTATCACAAAAGGCCGGAAATCAGCTGAAAAAAAATCGATTAATAACAAACATATTAATGCAAAAATAAAAATATATTAATACTATTAAAATTGTTGGCAACTTCCATTTTTTTCTTTAGTAAAGCTATTAATCTTTTTATCATATTTTAAAATTAAATAATATTATTAGAACATTAAATATAATAAATAAAGATATTAAATAATCATAATTCATAGTTTATTAAATTTTAATGTTCTGAGCAGTCCAACATTAAAATAACAAACAAGGAAATAAAATAATAAGTAATGAAAATAACAAAACAAAATTAATAGATAATACTTAAAAAATGTTAAAATAGTGAATTAAAGTCTTTTGAATCACGAATCTACAATCGTGAAACGAACTAAGATATACTAATCCGAAGTGTAAAGTGATAACTAGATATGATAGATATTAACTAGATATGAATATAAATCCGATTCGTAGTTAACAACCACCACAGATAAATATAATTTGTTATAACAACCATAAATATGGTTTATCATATGGAATGATAACGAAAACGAAGGGAAAAACTCATGATATCAATGTCGTTGTGTAATATTATACTTAGATACACAAACAATTAATTCAAATATATTATTTATAACTTAAATCAGAATTAAGCTAGTTAAAAACAATTAATGGCTAGAAAAAAAGCTAGGAGCAAGATTGTGTATTTTTTCAGTCAGATTGAAATGAAAAAGGACAGATTTAGCCTTAAAATGGTCAGATTTGGACTTAAAAAGGCCAACGTGGCATCACTGGTTAATACTTTATACCGCTGAATAAAATAGTATAATGATACATTGTTTGTCGACGTCGTCGAAAGCAATTTCCTAGGAAAATAAACCAAGTAATGCTATAATGCTATAGTCGAAAATAAGAAAATAAGACTATAAAATATTATAGTAATATGTCAACCACTGTACTCATTCCATTAATATTAATGATTATAATAAGAACTTTTAGATTATATAATAAATAATTGATAAATAACTAACATTAATATTTGTTTTAGAAAAAATTTCAATGTTTCACGTTTTTGTGAAATATTGCATGCTTTAAGCACTAAACAAGAGTGGTAAATTGTAGATTTATCAGTGTTATATTTTAACTCTGAGCTATACAATTTTCTTGTTATATATTATAATTGTTGAACTATCGTAGTTTTA